TATCTATCTATCTATCTATCTATCTATCTATCTATCTATCTATCTATCTATCTATCTATCTATCTATCTATCTATCTATCTATCTATCTATCTATCTATCTATCTATCTATCTATCTATCTCTCTCCCTCTCTCTCTCTCTCTATATATATATATATATATATATATATATAACTTTATGTTCGTCGCATAGATCAGAGCTTTGTGTCCGGGGTGCCGCGCCCTACTAGTGAGCCGCGAGACGTTGGTAGGTGTGTCGTGGCAAGATGCTACCAGGATGGAAAAAAACTGAGATTTTACGCTGGGGAACATGAATTTGAGAAAAACGTTGTTGATGAGAGGACAATCTGGTTATTATAAAGCTGTCAAGCTCGTCCCAGTCACGTGACACATCTTCAGTGCACTCATTGTATTGTTCCCAGTCAACTGAAACGCCGGATAAAATAACAATAAACGCACAATCAAGGGCGGGGCCTAAATTGCACCATTATTATGTAACATAATCATACAGAGTATCATCTCATTCTAAAAGCGAGCACATAACAGTGCACAAAGTGTGATATTCTTTACGCCCTGATGAGGATTCTTTCAGAGAACAATAGCGGAACACCGGTGATTAAATGGGTTTCGGATGTCGCGTCATCTCTTCACTAAACTCGTGGCTCGGTGTGTTTGCATTGATGGCTCCGATTGAAATTAATAAAAAATTAAAGATGGTTTGTTTCGTGTGTTACCATAATAAAAATAAAAGTATAAAAATTCCAGCAATAGAAATGACACCATATGGTTGTCTTCTGTTCATTTATTAGGAAACAATGTTAGTGAGAAAACATTTTTTTTTGGGAAGGGTTGGGGAAAAATTTTTGGATTGAAATTAGTAGAGGACAAACAGCTATAAGAGCTAACCCATCCCTCTCTTGTTGATTCCGCTGTCCAGACTTTGCGGGAGTGCAGCGGTGATGTCAAGACATGGATGACACTCAGCACGGTGAAGCTTAACGATGACAAAACGGAAGCACGCCTTATTCAAAATCACAAATCACCCTCTAACTCAGCTCTTTCCACCGCATTTCAAGAAGGTAACTCCGAAATACAGTTTACATTCTCTGCTAGGAATCTTGGCCATATTCTGTCTAACAACATGTCTCTCAATAATCATATCTCTCACATTTGTCGCTCTGCATACACCGCTATTCGTGAGATCAGCTCCATCCGCCACTACCTCACAGTTAGTGCAACAAAAAACCCTAGTCTATACTCTTGTTATCTATGATCTTGACTATTGCAACTCTCTTCTGTCAGGCTCACCAAAACACTTCATAGAAAAATTACAAAAGGTTCAAAAGTCAGCCGCTAGGCTAATTCTAAAGGCAAAAAAACGTGATCCCGTCACACCACTACTTTATTCACTTCATTTGCTCTCTGTACAAGCGTGGATTGACTGCAAGCTCTCTGTCCTCTGCCACAACTTTTTCTCGAATTACTGCCCTTCCTATCTCAGCGAGCTTCTCTTTGTGTATTCACCCCTTCGACAGCTTTACTCCTCCACAGATACGCGTATGGTTTCTGTTCCCAAGCACGCACGAAAACACAAGGTGGACGATCTTTCTCTTTCTGTGCCTCTTAATAATGGAATTCTCTTCCATTACACATCCGCAATATACCGACCATCAAGGCCTTCAAAACTGCACTCAAAACACATCTCTTTAAACTCTACTATCCTGACTGATCCTTCCCCCACCCAGGTTAAGTTATAAATGATGCTAATGGGTGTCGTCCATGGCTTGACCTGACAATAGTTCTGCAATGGGTGGATTGAAAATATATATCGCGCTATATAAGACCACTAATAATAGTACTTCATTCAGAACAGGCGACAGATTTTTTAAGCTACCAATGTTTCCCTGTGAATAACACATTGCACAAGAAGCATTTCTCATCCTTCTTCAATTTTAAGCACCTATTTTTCTTGCCCATCATATTAGGAGAATCTTTTGCACCACATGCGTGCTCGCATAGAGTACAAAATCGCAACTTTGTGCTACCGCTGCTTACATGACCTGAAGCCGTCCTCTCTGAAAGAGGTGCTGACGCCTTATGTACCCACTAGACGACTCCGCTCATCCGATAGTGGCAAACTCTCGACACCACGTGTTTGCCTTGAGACTTACGGAAAACGCACTTTCGCATTTGCTGGTCCAACAATTTGGAACGCCCTTCCAGTCGATCTCAGAAACAACCTGACATTGGAGTCCTTTAAAACCGATTTAAAGACACATCTATTTCGCAAACACCTTCTGGGATGATTGTCTACCATATTTTCCAGTTAATGCATATTGGCTGTGTTGCTTATGGTTGAAATGGCTAGAAAGACTTTGAATTGGTATGCTTGTAATTAGTTTTTGTAGTGTTGCGTTTGTTTTAAATGTTTTAAATTATAGATTAGTTTTTTGTTGACTTTGTACCGCGCTTCGAGCCTTTGGCGATGAAGCGTGTTTGTGAAATAAACTTTATTATTATTATGATATTTTTTTCTTTGGTATATTATCGACATCTAAGTAACAATAATACAGTCATTTCACAAAAACATGCACAGCACAGTAACTTTCAATGGCACTGTCTCTGAGTCATTCCCAGTTAGCAGCGAAATAAAACAGGGTTGTGTACTGGCACCAACGCTCTTTTCAATTTTCTTTTCGATGCTCCTTCAATTTGCTTTCAGTGACTGTGAAGATGAAGTGTTCGTCTATACAAGATCTGATGGAGGACCGTTCAATATCGCCCGCCTTCGTGCAAAGACCAAAGTAAAAAAGGTGCTGATTCGTGAACTGCTATTCGCTGACGATGCCGCCTTAACATCTCACACAGAAGAAGGTCTGCAGGGGCTGGTTAACCGCCTATTACATGCTTGTAAAGAGTTTGGAATTTCGATAAGTCTACAGAAAACTCATGGAATGATGCAAGAAGCACAGTCCCCTCATATCTATTGAGGTCATAATTTTTCGGTTGTTGATCCTTTCATATACCTGGGATCCAATATTTCTCGTTTTCTCTCCGTTGATGAAGAGATCAATATCAGGATTGCAAAAGCAGCAGCAACTATGGCTAAACTGAATAAGCGGGTGTGGAATAATCCCAATCTAACTGATAAAACAAAAGTAAGTGTAAATCAGGCATGTGTGCTTAGCACGCTCCTATATGGTAGCGAGGTGTGGACCACATATACCAGCCAGGAGCGGAAACTCAACAGCTTCCATCAAAGATGTCTGCGTCGCATTTAGCGCATTCGTTGGCAGGACAGGGTGCCTAACGTGGAGGTTTTGGAACGTGCACACATGTTTAGCATATTCTCCTTTCTTATCAAGAGACGCCTTCGCATGTCAGGTCATGTACGGAGAATGGAGGAAGGACATATCCCAAAGATACTGCTGTATGGAGAGTTGGCAGAGGGGACAAGACATATTGGACGACCGCGCCTGAGATTTAATGACGTTTGCAAACGAAGCATGAGGGAAGCCAATATTGAAACAAACGAATGGGAGTCCATTGCCGAACATCGCTCCAACTGGCGTACAGCAGTGTTTGGAGGAGTGAGAAAGGCAGAAGTTACTCGAAACGAGGCCCTCGAATCAAAAAGAACAATTCGAAAATCAA